GTATGGCTGAAGTCACCTGCAGTGAAATATGGCTGGGACTTGTCCTTATAGTCCGAGATCCCCCATTGTATGGCTGAAGTCACATGTAGTGAAACATGGCTGGGACTTGTCCTTATAGTCCCGAGATCCCCCATTGTATGGCTGAAGTCACATGCAGTGAAATATGGCTGGGACTTGTCCTTATAGTCCCGAGATACCCCCCCCCCCCCCCCCATTGTATGGCTGAAGTCACCTGCAGTGAAATATGGCTGGGACTTGTCCTTATAGTCCGAGATCCCCCATTGTATGGCTGAAGTCACATGTAGTGAAATATGGCTGGGACTTGTCCTTATGGTCTCGAGATCCCCCCCTCCCCCCCCCCCATTGTATGGCTGAAGTCACATGCAGTGAAATAAGGCTGGGACTTGTCCTTATGGTCTCGAGATCCCCCCTCCCCATTGTATGGCTGAAGTCACATGCAGTGAAATATGGCTGGGACTTGTCCTTATAGTCTCGAGATCCCCCCACCCATCCCCCCCCCCCCCCCCCCCCCCCCATGTATGGCTGAAGTCACATGCAGTGAAATATGGCTGGGACTTGTCCTTATAGTCTCGAGATCCCCCCCCCCCCCCCATTGTATGGCTGAAGTCACATGCAGTGAAATATGGCTGGGACTTGTCCTTATAGTCCCGAGATCCCCCATTGTATGGCTGAAGTCACCTGCAGTAAAATATGGCTGAGACTTGTCCTTATATAGTTTTCTCTGATGACCTGATAAACAACGTATAACTGCTACAAAGGTCACAAAACCGGTATACACACTTTCTAACCCTGGTGACACCATCAGGCGGGGCAGATATAAGTTATAACATACAACCAAGCAGACGATGGAACAAATGAGACAGATAACTATTCTGACAACGACATAAACACAGAACCTCTTCTGCTGTATGGTAGCGAATCTTGGAATGTCACTGAATAGATTAAGAAGAATTTGGAATCAACAGAGATGTGGTTTCTGAGACGAATGTTAGAATACCTTGGACGGCCAGAGTAACTAACAACGATTGCTTGAAAGAAGTAGATCTCTATATACAACAATAAGAAAGAGACAGACACTGATCTTTGGTCACATAATGAGAAGAGAGACATTGGAGAACATCGTGACAACTAGAAAGATCAGTGGAAAAAGGGGTAGAGGCAGACCAAGAGAGATGATGCTGGATGGGCTGAAACGATGGCATGGAAGGATATCATCAAGAGAGCTGTTCCAGGCAACCAGAAATCGTGATATGTGGAGGCGCATGAGCGCCTACGCCAGTTGGCTGGGCACATGATGATGATGATGATGTACACACAGATCATCATCATCAGCAAGTGCCGCCGTGACTGCCGTGGGCGATCATGTCGTTCAACCTGCGATACACAACATACATTAAATGCTGAAATCACACACGGTGTGGTGACATAGTTGCAACCAGTCAAGTGTCGCCTCCACAATGAAGGTTGGATGCAATGGATGTTGTACATTCAATGAAGGCACGAAGCTCCACCTCCGCAGCACAAACACTGGACCAAATTGTAGAGACCATATGTTTCCTGTGTATTATGACACCTCTCTCATACTTTTAAAACAAAACAGGCCCTGAGCGTACTATCTCTCAGACTGCCGCCCGTCCGTTCTCTCGATAGCGTTTTCCGATTTGTATTACTGTCCACCTCTTGCTTGCCTGCTTTAACTTTTCCCATCCAGATAACTTTTTATAAAAGTGTTATTCTTGCAATGTGACCGAAGTATTCACTTGTCTTTTATTTATTTTTCATTTCAAGAAATCTCACAAAAACACTTCCTGACCTAGTCGTGGTTTAGCCATGTTTGTTGTTGTGTTTTTAGACGACCGCCACTCCCCCCCTCCTCCCCCCCCCCAAAAAAAAAAGTTCCATGCATTGTGAAGCTCAGGTTCCCCGTATGGGTTCTGGGACCCCATTGTTGGGGAAACCAGAATAGACCCACTGCCTCCCTGACAAACATATCGTAAAAGTTTTATCATTAGGGATTTCGGAACTCCTCCGAATAACGGTCCCAAATTATCGAGGTTAAATTTGGGACCTTTATTCGGAGGAGTGTAGGGATTTCCTTAGAAGGCGGGGCATCTGCGTGAGACGCAAGGAACCAACATTCTTCATTCAACCCAGCCACACATGTAACACGGATGTGCACGCAACATACACGTTCTTAAACAAGACTAAATTCCAGAAGTGGACGAACAACCAGAACTTGCCGCCGGAGTTTACAGTCGGTGAATACAGAGAAGAAGTCCAGGTGATCTTAACCTTCAAACAGGCTGGCGTCTGCCGGAGTGACCTCGACGTTAAGACCTTCACCCCCACCTGGTAGGTAGCAAGGTCATGTCTCCAAGGAAACTTGCAGAGTTCTCCATCCCCTCCCCAAGCAGGGAAACAAGCGGCGACCATGATTCAGCGCAACAGACACAGACAAGCTGTGGCTGTTACTGTAATTGTTTAAATCTGTTACTGAGTCCGATACAAGAATACAGAAAGCAAATGCTGTCACATACCAACTATCACCTCTGCTTAAACATCCAGATATAACCATGAAGACCAAAAGACAATTGATAAACACCATCTTCATTCCAACACTCTGCTACCAGTGCCAAACATGGACAATCAACAAGACCCATGAAAGAAAAATAGAAGCCTGTGAAATGAAATGTCTAAGAAAAGCAGCGAACAAGACCAGACTAGACAGGATAAAGAATATAGACATTAGAAACACTGTCAAAACTACGCCATGTTTAGACTACATAGAACATCAAAGAATTAAATGGTTTGGACATCTAACCAGGATGAAAAATGACCAAATAACATCACAAATTTTCAACCAAAGAAGCTCAGGATATAAGGCAAGAGGAAGGCCAAGGAAACTGTGGATTGACGGGGTCTCCGAAACCTGCCAAAAGCATGGCCTCAGAACATCAGATGCTGCCCGCCTTGCTTATGACAGGAACTTGCATCTCCCCACAACGCTTAGCGGCATACGTGGAAGGAAAAAGTAAAAGTAAGTAAGTACTGAGTGCAGTGACGTCGATTGTGATAACAAAACACAAAATTACATTTTGTAGGAAGTCGGCATTCCGAAACCCAAGTTCAAGGTGTCTCCTTCGTGCCAAAGAACTGCATGGCTGTTGGGTGAACAGTCGTTAACGAAGGCAGTCAGGTCGTTGTAGGGGCGACGCCTGCTGGTGGATGTAATGTCCTAAGTCCCTT